CCTGGGATGCTGAGGAGTGTGATTCCTCTGTAGGTGGAGCACACCCTCTGGTCCTATTTGTTTTAAATGGGAACAATGACCCCAGTATGAAAACCCAGATATACTGTACCCGCCTTCCATGCAACATTGAAGAGGTGTGTTAACCACGACACTCCTACTGTACACTGTCCAGCACTTTCAACAAATCTGGCCGGATCTCGTCCACCCCAGCAGCTTTGCCACTCCAAAGGCCATCGACCACCGCAGCGACTTCAGCAGTTGTGATGGATCCGACCCCCCCCCCAGTTGTTTCCAGGGCTGCCTCCTGAGAGGAGGGCATGTCCACCGGGTTGAGGAGCTCCTCATTGTGTTCCTTCCGTCTCTCGACTATCTCCTTAGTTGAGGTCAATGTTACGCCGCCCTAACTGAAAACAGCCTGAGCCACGTCCCGTCGACCCCTCCTAAGGCGTTGGATGGTTTACCAGAACATCTTTGAAGCTGCCCGGTAGTTCCTCTCCATGGACTCTCCAAACTCCTCCCATGCCAAGGTTTTCGCTTCAGCAACCATCGCAGCTACCGCCCTCTTGGCAAGCCGGTACCTCACAATTAAGTCGGTAGACCTTTTTCTGAGCATAGCTTGGAAAGCCTCCTTCAACTTGACAGCTTCCCTCACCACTGGTGTGCATCAGCGGGTTCTAGGGTTGCTGCCATGACGGGCACCAACTGACTTCATGCCACAGGCTTTTGCAGCTGCATCCTCAATAGAGGTCCTGAACATCGTCCACTCAGAATAAATATCTACGACCTCCCCTGGAGTGCATGAAGTTGGAATCTTTCTGCATTGGATCTTTAGACAGACGTTCCCAGAAAACCCACACTCTTCATTTGGGCCTTCCACGTTTATCTGCTCGGTGAGCCAAGCGTCGAATCCAACTTACCACCAGATTGTAATCAGTTGACTGCCCTCCCTTTACTCGAGTATCCAGAACATATGGCCTTACGTCCGATGATACAACTATAGAGTCAATCATTGACCTACGACCCAAGGTGCTTGGGTGCCAAGTACACTTATGAGCATCTTGTGTTCCAACATGGTGTTTGTTATTGGCATTCCGTGACTAGTGCAGGGAGGGGGGGGGCATTTCTCCCAATCATGCCTCTCCAGGTATCTCCATCTTTTCCCACGTCAGGATTGAAGTTGCCTGTAAAGACTATGGAATCGGTAGGTGGCACTCTGTGGTCTCCAAGAAGGCCGAATACTCTGATCTGCTGTTCAGTGGATAAGCACAGATAATAGTCAGAGTTTTCCTTTTTGAGACTAGAACTCTTATTGAGGTTACCATATCATCAACTGGGAGAAATTCAAACCGAACATAACCCAGCTGGGGGCTTGTGAGTATCCCCACACCCACCCCGGGGAATCTCACCAGAGGTTACACTAGAATATGAGAGACCACCCCTGATCGAGAAGTTTGGTACCAGTGTCAATGATGTGTGTGTAGTTGAGACCAACTAAAGCTAGTCAGTTGCTTTCCCCCCTCCTCCACCAGTTCTGGCTCCTTCCAACACAGTGATGTGGAATTCATGCGTCCCAATAGCTAGTATCCATCGCCAAAGTCTAGTCCATCTGAGACTATCCCTCTCCCTGCCATACTGGCATCGCACCCGCCCCTGACCCTTCATCTTGGGGATGGTGGGCCCACAGGACGGTGTCACATAGCCATTTTGGGCTGGGCCTGACCAGTTTACGTGGGTTACCTGGCTGCCAGGTGCTTGCCAGCGAACACCACCCCCAGGCCTGGCTCCAGGGGGGTGTCCCGGCACACCTTCTCCGGGTGATGTTCTCTGATTTTTTTTATTTTTTTGTTACAATTCATGAGGGGCTTTTGTTTGGACCGTTATTTGTCTTGAACCTCCCTCCAGACCTGTTCGCCAAGGGAGACTCTACCAGGAGCACAAGACTCCACGCGACATAGCGCTGAGGCTTATTGAAACACACAAACCCCACCACCACGATTAGGTTACAATCTTTCAGTGCGGAGCTCATTTCTGAAGTTCAAATTTTATGTTCGTGAGATTTTCTTCCCATTTTATAGCATTTAGTGCCATCCATAGGTATCAGCGTGGCTATAGATTCATACACCCTGACTCGTTTATGCATAACTATTTCTAGCGGAACATATTTCGGAGATTTGTTGGGGTTAGATCACGTAAATATGTCATTAAACACACCACCACCACCCGACACGGCCAAATAGTAAGGGTTTGTCACGTAAACAAAACGTGCCGGTTAGTTAAGAGATCAGCACTAACCGGTTTTGTGTTGGAGAGTAAACCCACAACACTTAAAATTTGAGTACTGTGACCTGTTGCTGGTGATTGCAACATCCAGCTTCATCAGGCAAATCGCCTGATGAAGCTGGTGCTTAGGGGCCGTCCATAAATGACGTCACGCGATTTTGGACGATTTTTGACCCCCCCCATCGTCCCACGGCATCACAAAAGTTAGACCCCCTCAAATATGAAGTCACAAAGCTCTGCCCCCCCCCCCCCCCAAATAAAACATGCTTCAAATCGCTATAAACTATTGTCATTATAGTGCGTATTTAATGTGGCGCTGCACTCTGATGTTGTAAGATAAAACATTTATTAAAAAGTCTATTTAATAAAGTAGAACGTGTTGTCTATATTTATTTAAAGTTGCGCATTTTGATGTGACGTCACATTTCTCAACCCCCCTCCCCCCTCGTCACACATCGCCACAAATGTCTGACCCCCCCCCCCCAGGTGCGTGACGTCATTTATGGACGGCCCCTTAGGCACCTGGTTGACAAGTGGATGCCAGCCGCGTGGCAGTTCTCCTCGATTAGCATGGTTGGCTGTGTACGGTGCCAAAACAGTTCAGCACACGTACACTCCACTATGCCACACACTACACGATACACTACTATACACTACTCTGCACACTACAGTCCAAACGACACTACACTCTGCACTTCTATACGCTACACTAAACCCTACTATACACAATACGCTACACACTACGCTACACACTACAATATACACTAATATACACTACACTATACCTTACAATATACACTACACTGAACACGACTATACACTACACTAAACCCTACAATACAGACTATGCTACACACTAAACACTACTATAAACTCCACTATACACGAGGCTACACACTACACGATACACTACAATACACACTATATGCTACTATACACTACACCCTACAATACATACTTATGGCAAACACTACACTATACACTCCTATACAATACAATATACACTAGGCTACACACTACACTGTATAGTGTTGTACACTACAGTACCGTATAGTGTACAATTAAGGTAAAGGGAATTCATCTTGATTTTGGGGGAAAAGTGTTTGGACGAGTACAGAAAACAATCAATACCTGCATCTCACACACAAGCCACTCCATGCTGGTCTGATGTCTTACTATAGACCACCAAATAGCAAGAGAATAAATTCACCTCTGGATAAAATTATACCACCCATTGCAAAAGGGGAACGAATAGATCATAGGCGACCTAAATTGGATTTGGCTAAACCTACCACATGATGTGTTAAACTTTACAACCAGTGCAATCTAAATCAACTGATTATTTTAAACACTCAACCCAATATCAAACTGTGAAACTAAACTATTTATTTTATTTTACTAGGTAAGGCTCACTGAGCTATGGTAGCTCTTCTTCAGAAGCGACCTGCCCACAAATGATAGCTCAACGAAGTGGCTTATGTGGAAATGTGTAGCGACATCGTTGAGCGCTTTAAGTGATTGCCACAACTTGTAGCCTGTAATAACGGCCTCGAGTCAACAGGGGGCAGAATGGAGTACAATGGTGATGAGTCAGGCCCTTGGTCTAACGTAAACCTCACGGCAGCTCGGGACCAGCGGTACAAACTTCCAGACCCCATGAAGGGGGCTGGAGGATAACGTCACTCCCTAGGCCCCTTCAGACGGTTCCAAAAGGGGGGAGTGGCTAGGGGCGGAGTGAGCCAGAGACCAGTATAAAAGACGGTCCCCTGAACGGGACCGGGAGTCATCGTTACCTGAAGACTCAAGAGCCAATTCTATATTAAAAGCTTTAGTGACTGCAAGGATCCATAATCTTTGGTTCTATTCGGTAAAGTCATATAGGTAAACAATAAAAGAACAAAAATTACGACGTTTCGGCCACAACAAAAGTGGCCTTCATCAGGTGAAGGGACCAAAGATTATGGATCCTTGCAGTCACGAAAGCTTCAAATCTAGAATTGATAACCTCTACGGGGAGGGCTTTCACCTATCTGTTAGAGCTTTCAACAGACAACGGGACAAGAAGTCACAGCTCATCGAGACGCTGACCTTCCTCAAAAGATGCCGCGACCACAAGCTTAAATGACGCGACCTGGGCTTGACTGTCTTCATTCTAACGCTGTCCTCGTGACAGTACGGTCCCTTTACCTGATGAAGGCCACTTGTGTTGTGGCCGAAACATCGTGATTTTTGTTGTTTTATTTTTTACCTACGTGACTCAAGAGCCACCTTGGAGCTGCCACCTTGAAGACCCGAAGCGAAGAGCCCAAAGGGCAGAACCCGAACCCCTGGCTAGGGTCGGGTCAAAGCTTAACCAGCGAAGAGGTTAGAGCATAACCAATGTTCGGGCAGGCTATCCCGGAGGGAATTACCTCCCTAGGTATCGGGTGGAAGTGGCCGTATGCCTTTGTGTTATTGTAATGTTTAAATAAACGTGCTGCCTCCAGAAGAGTGAAGTCCTCTCACGTTTTAACCCACTACAAATGTATAGCAGCCAAATACTCTAAACGCGTGTTGATACTAAATGTGGAGGGAAGATCGAAGAACCTGGAGAAAAATCCACGCAACCACGGGGAAAGAGAGACTCAAATTCCAAAAATACAGCAGCTGGCAGAGTCGGGATCAAACCCACGACGTCCTCTATACCAGGCGAGGTAGTTAACATATTGCTACCATGGCGAGATAAGATACAAGTTGGTAAAAAAAGTTAATGATCAGCATGGTCCCTGTAAAATAATTAACCAGATATATTACATTTATTTGGGAGGTTTTAATTACGTCTTCCAACATCTACAGTGCTGCGAGAAAGGTTGGGAACCCCTTAGGATTTCACATATTTTACATATTTCAAACCTAAAATGCTATTGGATCTTAATCTAAGCCCTAATAATAGATAATGATCACATGATTAAACAAATGACACGAAAACATCATGTTCTTTCAACATTTATTCATCCTCAAATGATCCTACATTGAACCATATAAAAAATACGTGAATATTTATATTCAGTAACTGGTGACACCCCCTTGAGCATCAATGACTCCAACTAAGTGTCAGTCAGTCTCTCACTTTGGATTTGAGGAATATCGGCCCATTCCTCATTATAGAACTCCTTCAACTTGGTGACATTTGAGGGTTGCCTTGCATGGACAGCTCGCTTCAGGTCCTGCCACAACATTTCGATGGGGTTTAGGTCCAGACTTTGACTAGGCCATTGTAAAACGTGGAATCTTCTTCTTTTGCAGCCATTATTTTGTATATTTGCTTGTATGTTTAGGATCATGGTCTTGCTGAAAGACCCACTTTTGGTTCAGGTTCAGCTTTAGTGGACGGATAGCCTGACATCCTCCTCCAGAACCTTCTCATACAATGCAGAGTTTATGGTTGTGTCAATGATGGAAAGCTGTACAGATCATGAGGCAGCAAAGCATCCCCAAACCATCACATCACCACCACGATGCTTGATGAGGTTCTTCTGTTCAAAAGTGGTGTTTCGTTTTTTCCAAACAACGTTTGTCATTGAATCCAAAATGTTCTACCTTTAACGCTTCTGTCCAGAGAACATTGTTTCAGAAGTCTTGTAGATCATCTATGTGCACTTTGCCGAACTTCAGGCGGGCAGCAATGTCATTTTTGGAGAGTAGTGGCTTTCTCCTTGCTGTCCTTCCATGAACACCATTCTTGTTCAGTCTGTTTCGGATAGTTGAGTCATGAACAGTCACGTTAACCAAGGCGAGAGTGGCCTGCAGATCCTTGGATGTTTTTCTGAGGTTATTTGTGACTTCTTTGATGATTTTCTGGTTTGTTTATGGAGAGATTTTGGTTATAGTGACTGTGGTCTTGAACTTTCTTCATTTGTAGACTATCTGTCTATCAGTGGATTGATGGAGCCTCAAATCTTTCAAAATGGTTTTGTAACGATTTCCGGACTGATGAGCATCAATAACTCTTTTTCTGGGGTTCTCAGAGATGTCTTATGATCATGGCATGACCTGTTTCTACACACCTCTGTGGTGAAGACCAAACTGACAAAGTTTTTGATCTTTATATAGGATGGGGCCTCCCAAACTCATCCCTGAAAATCTAACTAATTATTTAAACACCTGATTCAAATTCTTGCCTTAATTGAGCTAATGCAATCAGGGGTTCAATTGCTTTTTGAGATACCTTGAATCTTACTTACTCATTGTTTTTTAATTCATACATCATTTTGCTTCAAAAGACATGGAATTGGTGAATATAAACCCTATTAGATATTTAAGAAAATACCAGTTTTGATTCAAGAAGCCTATTATGGATGTTTCTCCGGGTCCTCCGGTTTTTCCATCCACATTTTAAAACATGCGTTTATAGTATTTGGCTGCTATAAATGTCCCCATGACAATACGCCACTTCGTTGAGCAGTTATTTGTGGCCAGGTCGGTTTGGAAAATGAAACTAATAGCTCATTGGGCTTTAGCTAGTAAGATTAAAAAATAGTTGTGTTATTTGTATATATTTTTTTAGTGATTTGACTACCTTTCCTATACTTTGCTCGCCAGCTACAGTCAGGCCTGCGCCTACCCTATCACTACACCAACCCCTAACACTACCCCTATCCATAGGGGCGCCAAGATAGCAAGGTAATGTTCATTATATTGCCTGGTATACAGGAGGTCGTGAGTTCTATCCCGACCTTGATGCCTGTTGTTTATTTGGCGTTTGCGTCTCTCTCCCTTCTTCCGTGGTCACGTGGATTATTCTCTGGGTCCTGTACATTTTCACACGACATTGATATCAGCCACTTCGTTGAGCTATCATTTGTGGTAGTCAGGGTGATTCTGAAAAATAGCTGCACAGCTCAGTGGGCCTTACCTCGTAAAATAATGGTTTAGTTTTCATTTGGCTGCTGCTATAAATTTCCACACGATAAGCCACTTTATTGAGCCATCATTTGTGATGGCCAGGTAGCTTCTGACTAAAGAGCTACATTGCTCAGTGGGGCCCTACCACTGAACTATAATCTATAGCAGTGGTTCTTAACAATTACTGCAGCCTTGCACTCCTTTGGTTCTCAATCGTAAAAAAAAAACATGTATAATGTTAATGAATACATAGGATTGATGAAACAAAATAGTTGTACTTCCGTGCCCATGCTTAATTTGTCTTTCAATAATTTACCTTCTAAAATAATATAGCCATATGCTATATAGTTTTATATTAAATAACTATACGTGTCGGCCATCAACCTTCCTCCCCCTCCCATTCTAGATTCCTATGACGAGCGCCGCCTCTGCCAGCGCCTTTTTCCGCAGGTGGTGCTCCAGGCAGTGCACCGCCACGTGGTCGACGGCCGTGTCCACCTTGTTGGCGAAGAGATGGTGCTGGCGCAGCACCCACGCCAGGTCGCCAGCGCCATACACGCAGACGTCCCTGACATGGGTGCCTCGGCAGGGCGGATAGGCCGCCCCGCCGCCGGCCACATCACCCTCGAAGGCGGACCACTTGACTAGGCGCGCCAGCGCGGCCGCGTCCGTCACGTCGTGTATCCGGTGTGCGGGCGTTGAGCCGGGCACGCCGGGCATCCGCTGGAGGGTCGCCCACAGGTGCTCGTCGGGGCTGTAGGTATCCCCTGCCCACTCGATGAGAGCCCGCGCTGCCGGGTCACTCAGCACGTGCTCCACGAAGGCGCGCGTCACCACCACATATGCGCTGCCCGCGAACATGGGTGTGGGGATGGGCGGCGGGCGCTTGGTTAGGCCCGTCGAGCGGATCTCGTTGCCCGCCACTTTGTAGCTGAGGATCCAGCGCGCCCTCTTGCCCCTGGGCATGCGCACTGTCTCCAGACTGTTGCGGCCATTGAGGGTGCGCAGCGCCCGCACCATCTCCAGGTTCGTCTTGATGGGGAAGTCACGGCCGCACAGGTTGATGAAGTACCTCCATTGAACACGCTCCGCCATGGCCACCTGCAGCCAAAGTGAGCACGTTAGGGCGTTGTTGTTGCACTATAATGCCATCGTGTTTGTTCGTATGTCCAGTTGCCTGTTTGGACTGAGAGTCGTAAGTTCAACCTCAGCGCAATAGATGGCGGTGGTGGCATCTACATCTGCATGACATGACGAACCAGTGGCATCTACTTCTACAAAACATGAAGAACCAGTGGCATATAAATTAACAGATTATTCTATTTTTGAAGCCATTCCCCAAGTTTAGTGTTCATGCCATACAACATGTTTGGAATCGACAGGAGTAAAGTTAGGCTTACAAACAAATCGACTTACGAACAGACCTCTGGAACCTTACTCATTCGAAGCATAAGAAGTTTAAATGAGTGTAATTTTTCAGAGATACAGCGTGGTATTTGATGATAATCTATATTTAACATAATTTTTCTTTATATTTTTACTTTTTATTTTGCGATTATGATTTGCTAGAATTTTTTTATTTATCTTGTCTGTTATTGTTTATTATTGATTTATTTTACTGTTTTTTGTTGCATTTGTTGGAGAAGCAGTGTTGTTTTTGTTGATGAAACCCGATTTAAGAGCTTCTTGGCTCACACGCTACTTCAAAATGAACTGAAAATGATAAATTTCGTTTTAAAGCTTTCGTGACTGCAAGGATTCATCTTCTTTGGTTCTTTCGGTAAAGGCACGTAGAATGAGAATAAAATAATAAATTAATATAAAATAACACAATAAAATTCTCACGACGTTTCGGCCACAACACAAGTGGCCTTCATCAGGTGAAGGGACGAGACTGTCAAGAGGACATCGCCGGAGCGAACACAGCCAAGCTCAGACCGCGACCTTTAAGCTGTGTGAGAAGAAACAGAGCGCCTTAACAAAGGAATTAGCATAAAAATTAGCATTTAATTGGTGGACTTAGCATGATGAACGGTGTAGAGGGGGTGAATATGTGCAGACCGGCGAGGAGGGGAGGGGGAGTTTACATATTGATGGTGTGAAAAGAGAATTTAAGCTGCTGCGAAAGTTTGGGATACCACTACTTGAAAAAATATACTGTACCATTGAAAATTAGTTTAATGTTTGGTTCAGATAATTTAGCATTAAAATAGCTGCGTGATTAGCTTGTGACTGGTCACAGAAATGGCTATGTTAAAGTCAAAGCCTACACATCCACAGAGGCACCTTGTACAAATCAAACAGGAGAATTTAGCATTGAAATAACTGAGTGATTAGCTTGTGACTGGTCATAGAAATAGCTATGTTAAAGTCAAAGCCTACACATCCACAGAGGCACCTAGTACAAATCAAACAGGAGAATTTAGCATTGAAATAGCTGAGTGATTAGCTTGTGACTGGTCACAGAAATGGCTATGTTAAAGTCCGCCAATTAAATGCTAATTGTTATGCTAATTCCTTTGTCAAGGTGCTCTGTTTCTTCTCACACAGCTTAAAGGTCGCGGTCTGAGCTTGGCTGTGTTCGCTCCGGCGCTGTCCTCTAGACAGTCTCGTCCCTTCACCTGATGAAGGCCACTTGTGTTGTGGCCGAAACGTCGTGAGAATTGTATTGTGTTATTTTATTTTATTAATTTATTTTTTTATTCTCATTCTCGTGACTTTACCGAAAGAACCAAAAAAGATGAAAATTATAACTGAACATCGCGAAGATAAAAACGTTTCCAGTCGCCATGGATTACCACTAATACTCGCATTTCTTGAGAGCCTCTACAATGATGAAAGTAGCACCCATGAGGCGCCTCAGCAGTGGAGGTGAGAAAAGGTGGTACCAATTTACTCGACCCCTTTGTTGGACCAGGGCCGAACCCAGGCTTCTCTGCAGCTCCTGACGAAGGACACAGGAGGAGCTGGTGTTTGATCACCCCGTCCGAAACGTGCTTATCAATTTGTGTTTGTTTAACACGTAGTCGTTTGCGACTAATACTATCTACAATGGGGGTTTTTGGGGTTAGATCGCGTTAATAGAAATGTGTCGGGAAACCCACCGCCACCCGACACAGCCAATAAGTAAGGGGTTTGTTACTTAAACAAAACACATTTAAAATCAATGTCACGTGTTTAGAGTATTTGGCTGCTATAAATTTCTACATGATGATAAGCCACTTCGTTTAGCTATCATTTGTGATAGCCAGGTCGCTTCTGAAAAATAATTAAAGAGTTCAGTGCCCCTCCTGTATACCAGGCAAGGAAGTTAACATCCCCTAGCCACCGTGATACTATACAACAGGTGTAAGGGTAGGGATCGAACCCACGACCCTCCTGTATACGAGGCGAGGTAGTTAACATCTCCTAGCCACAGTGGGGTGCATATGCCAATAAGCCGCGTGTATATTATAATATTTGTAGCGTTATTCTTTACTTCCCCTCTTCCCTTTATTATCTCCCCCCCCCAATTCCCTCTTCACCCACGTAATGGTCCCGGGTTCACGTTAAAACAATGCACGAATATTTCCTAGCCATCGTGGAGCGTATGCCTCATCGCTTCAGGCATGGATCTGGCCTTTTAAAAAAAAAATTTCCACCGACTCCACGCACTCTCTCGCCATTACGCACCAGCTCGCTCATGCAGTTGAGGTCGGCCTGCACTCTCGACCACGAGGCGTAGACGACTCTCTCCAGGTGTGCCGCCACGAACACGTTGGGGAAGCAGGCGGCGAGGGCGCGCGCCGCCTCCAGGTAGGCGCGGGGGGACTTGGCGTCCACGTGGAGGCAGTAGAGGTTCTGCGGGGCGTAGACGGCACGCAGCAGCCTCTCCAGCATGTCCACGCGGTGGTGGGCGACCACGGAGTAGGCGATGGGGAAGGCCTCCTCCTCGCGGCTCAGCGGCACCAGCACGTACCTGCGCGCGCGCCTGAACGCGTCGCAGTCGCGCGTCATCGCGAGCAGCTCCGCCTCGCCAAGCCCATGGTGGCCGCGACTCTTCGCCGTCTTGGCCACGAGCTCGGCCGCGGCGGCGATGGCCACCTCGTCGCCCTCGACGATGGCGGCGCAGTTGAAACGCCGGGAGGTCGAGGTCGACATCTCGACGTCGCTAATCTCTAAGCCTAACGACGGGGAGTAGCGAGGCGGTGGCGGCGGTGATGACTCCTGCATGATGATGGTGTAGAGGCCGACCGCGGTGGACGTGAGCGTGCACATGCAGATGAGTCGGAAGCGCTTCCTGTTGGCGAGCACCATATTTTACTTCTCTTTTCCTCCCTCGAGCACGCGTCGTTGCTGGGCCCAGCACGCTTGGCAGGTTTCAAAGTTTTTTTTTTAAGTGAGTGTAAAGTCTCACAACTTAGCCAACCGTGCAAATCGGAGGTAAGGTGTAGTGTATGGTATAGTGTATAGTAATGTGTATAGTATATAGTTGTGTAGTGTATAGTGTACTGTATAGTAGTGCAGTGTGTAGTGACTAGTTTATTGTATGTGTGTTGAACTTATTTCGCAACGTACGTAGCCAACCGTGCTAATCGGAGGTGCCGAGGGGAAAGGACAACAAAATAAACACAATAACAGCAAGCAATTCCCCGAAGAAATTAATTTGTCAATTTGGATGATGATTTAAACCTTTACACCATAGCTCCCAGTAGCTTCCTAATGTCGGAAGGAAGAGCGCTCCAGACGGCCGCAGAAGCGCATCCGAAAGCGCCGCACGATGTGGTGACCGTCTTTGTTCGACGGCGAGCCAAAAGTATAGCATATGATGTTTTAGTAGAGTATAGTGTAGCATATAGCAGTGTAGTGTATAGTGTAGCGTGTAGTGTATAGTAGTGTAATGTATAGTTGCGTAGTGTGTAGTAGTGTATAGGGTGGCGTTCTATACCGGCCACAGTAGCAGCGCAGTGTCTTAAAGCGCCGCGTGATGCCGCGTTGACGCACAAAGCAGCCGAGGCGATCCCCACTGCCCCTTCACACTACACGCACTCTGGGTGCCTGAGCAGTCCGCTTGTCACGGAGACAAAACTTATTCGCCTCGGAGCTCCTGCCAACGTGGGGTGGTGACGCGGGGCGTGTGGGGGTAGTAGAGACGAATAGCACAGCAGTGGAAACCCCTCGCAGACGCAAACCTCGCTTCTGCTTATAACGGCGGAGGCCCTTGACGCTTGCGGACGCGCCTCTGATAACCCCCTTCAGGGGACAACCCCGGGTGTGAGGTGGGTGCCGTGCTAGGGTGGGGTGGGGGGATTAAGGATGCTCAGTGGACCGAGGCACATGCCGGGAGGGGGGGAGGGGAGCGCTCATGACATTAACTCAACCTCCCCTCCGCATCCCACCCATCGCCCCGTCCCCACCCCGCCACAATCCACTCCAACAATCACAGCTAACCAAGCAGCAGCGGTGTGGGTCACGCGAAACAATGGCACGTCCGGGGTCGTCCAGCCTGTAAACGAATTTTCAACCTTCGTCTAAAGTACAAAGGGGTAAAAAAAAAAAGACGTCACCCATTGGGGTCCTTTCATAACGTTCATCACCCTGACGTGTTGGTGGTGGTGGTGGTGAGAGTGGGGATGGTGGGGATTATACCTCGGATCGCTTTGTCATCGTACACACGTCTCGTAAATACTGCAACAACAAAAAAAGACGTGATTGTGGGTTAATGTCAGTTATCTTAATCTGGCGTGACGTGAATTGACTTGACGTGGTCCGAATGCAAGCACGATTATCAAGCGTGCGTCACTTTTACATTTACACAATAATATGTTCACAGTTGAGGATGTGTCTGGCTCAGTGGTGAGCGTACTGTGCTAAGAAGCTGGTGACCTCGGAGTTGTTAACTCCCTCGCCTGTTATGCAGGAGGTCGTGGGTTCGACCCAGACCCTGCTGTCTGTTGTATCGTATCACGGTGGCTCGGAGATATTAACTCCCTCGCCTGGTACGCATGAGTTGTGGGTTCGATCCCGAACCCTGCTCTATATATTTGGTGTATGCGTGTCTCTCTATCTCCTCATGGTCGTGTGCATTTTTCACTGGACCCTCCGGGTTTTGCCTCCACATTTAGAAACATGCGTTAACATTATTTAGAGTATTTTGCTGCAATAAATGTCCACATTGTAAGAAGCCACTGTAAGAAGCCACTTCGTTGAGCTAATTGCTCAGTGGGCTTTGCCTGGTAAGAAAAAGAATAGCTTAGTTGTATCTTCTTGGTTCTTTCGGTAAAGTCACGTAGAATGGAAATAAAATAATAAAAATAAAACATAATAAAATAAAGTTCTCACGACGTTTTGGCCAAGGGATTGGAGGAGAGGTTCAAACTGAAAAAGGCAGGAAACAGAGGTTGTGCGTTGAGGCGACGGTTGAGAACCATTGAGGGAGGACGGAGAATTGCTGAAAGGAATGCATTGAGAAAAGTTTCGAGAGAAAAGGCTCGAAGGGGATAAAAGGGAAGAGCACAAGGAGAGGGGACGTTCGGAGATAGTTGGAGCGTCAAGAGTCAAGCCAGAAGCAAGGCCCAGTGTTGGTGCTGTGTCAAATAAAGAAAAGGCTCCAAGTATCATACGTTATGGTAATCTTTACACTATTATTCCATAAGCGACCTGGCTATCACAAATGATAGCTTAAGGAAGTGTCTTATCACTTAAGTCTTTTAAGGCTACACAGGGGATGAAACGCCCAGGATCAGACCACTTGTTGAATGAGGAGAAGGGCGACTCCCTGTGACGAAGAGAGCAATTTACTTACATGCTGTGACAACTGGTCGACAGCTTTTATGCATTGGTGCAGTGCAAACTCCACTGCCGCATCCCGCTGCTGCTGGTAAGTGAGTAGTGAGTAACAAACTTTGGAGCTCTTTTGCTAGCTGGGCGCACAACAGTCCCGACTCCAGGCTCGGGAAAGACGTTCACAGGGCAGAAGAAGCCTTGTCGGTGACATTTCGATGAGACAGGAAGAGGCTCACGGTTCGAAGACCATGGCCGCGGTGGCTAAGGCGATCATAGCTCCCTCACCTGGTATGAAGGAGGTTGTGGGTTCGATCCCGACCCTGACGCCTGATGTATATTTGGAGTTTGCGTGTCTCTCTCTCCCCGTGGTTGCGTGGATTTGTCACCGGGTCGTCCGATTTTTCCCTCCATATTAGGAATGAAACTCACGCGTTTAGCTTATTTGGCCACTATGAATTCCCAGGCTGCAACATTTTCCCAAAATAGCCAGGTTTGCTTCTGAAAAATAGATACATAGCAGCTCTGTTGGACCTTTCTCCTGGTAAAATAAAGAAAATAAGAAATAATTCACCGGTGTAATGTTCGTTAAAGACACGCTAACATGATTCGTAAGAGGTGGGCCACTGCGTGTCTGCGTCAAAAAAAATACAAACTTTTTTTTTTCATGTTTATAAGTTGCACTGCACACTACTCGATTGAGATTACACGGGGTGGGGGGTCCTACTGGCAGACTATGGGACTTCATTCTCTGATCTTCAGTTCTCACATGGTTAAACAATGCAAACGTTAAACAACTTACATTTCCACTCTGTGCGCATCTCCACGCGGGTGGCTTCGGCGGGTTCACTGGCTGTTGTCATTAGCAGCCTGAAGTCCACCGAAGACACGGACATTTGAGTTCAGAATCAGTATTTATATTGCAGCAGGAGGAATCCGATGAGGTACAAAGCTCTTGGTCACCTATGTTCAGTAGGGGGCACGGGGTCAGAACGTTACAACAACACAGAATACGCACAAACACGATAGGAGTCCAAAGTATATGAAAGGTAACAAGTAACTTTCATAAATACGAATACAACTAAGCTCCGATTTAAAGCTTCCGTGACTGCAGGGATCATCTTCTTGGTTCTTTCGGTAAAGTCACGTAGAATAGAAATAAAATAATAAAAATGAAACATAATAAAATAAAATTCTCACGACGTTTTGGCCACAACACAAATAGCCTTCTTCAGGTGAAGGAACAGAACTGTCGGGACGACAGAGCTTCAATGAACACTGCTAAACTTGGCAGCATCTTTTAAGCTGGGTGGGAGGAGCAAAGCGCCTTGACAAAGGAGTTTACATATCAACAGAAGAATTCAGCATTGAAGTAGCTCTGTTAATGTGTTGGATTGGCAGGGTGTTAAAGTCAGAAATTACCATGTAACTGGGAGATTATCATGATGTTAGTGTGAGGGATTAGCATGTAACTGGTCACGGAAGTAGCTATGTTAAAGTCAGAGTTTACATATCAACAGAGGCACTTAGTATATTGACGCTAAAGAACTGCAACTACCCAACTATCATACAATAAGCCGATGTGAAAGAACTAAGTATAAACTACATCAATATAATAAATGTACTCAATATTATATAACCCCCCCTCCCCCCGCCCCCACCGCGCCGGTCCAGTACATCATTTTATGCTAATTCCTTTGTCAAGGCGTTTTTTGTTTCCTCCCACACAGCTTAAAGGACGCGACCTGGGCTTGGCTGTCTTCACTCCAACGCTGTCCTCTGGACAGTCCGGTCCCTTCACCTGATGAAGGCCACTTGTGTTGTGGCCAAAACGTCGTGATTTTTGTTATTTTATTTTTACCAACGTGACTTTACCGAATAGAACCAAAGAGTATGGATCCTTGCAGTCACGAAAGCTTTAAATCTAGAATTGATAACCTCTACGGGGAGGGCTTTCACCTATCTGTTAGAGCTTTCAACAGACAACGGGACAAGAAGTCAAAGCTCATCGAGACGCTAACCTTCCTCAAAAGATGCCGCGACAACAAGGTAATACCCATCGCTTTCACACTCACATCTGCTGCTGTATCCTCACCGAATTCTAAACAGATTCTGTTTAAGGCCAGCCTATCTTTAATCTCAGAGAGGATAAGACTACTCCGTTTTGAACTAGATACTTTAGACAGGACTCTCCTACAAGCTCATTTAACGCTAACACACAAAATGTCACCTTCTGATTGGAACCACGTAGACAACATGACTGCTTCTTCTGCCGATTCACTTTCAGTCAAATACAAAGCTAACCTGATTTCTAAATTCAACCACCTATCGAAGAAGAACCCAGTCCCACATATAACAAAACTAGACGTTAACAAAATCGTCATTAATCAGAGTAGCACCCCGATTTCGGACAATCTGAAAACAGTACTGGCTAGAGGGCTAAATTTTGCTGTCACCCCAAAACATATTCCTGTAGATGATATCATCTCTCAGGTCGATGTGGCCTTTAAAGGCATAGGACACATCCAAGCAGACGTTGCGAGAGCTAAAATAGCCACTATTCTTAAGAATGCTAAGACACCCATTAGCAACATCAGCAAAAATGAACGCTCTGAACTCGCGAATTAAAAAAAAAACAGAAATGATATAGTCATCCTCTCAGCCGACAAAGGCAACGCTACTG